TACTTTCTCGCATGGTCACAGCGATATCGTGAATGAAGCATTACTATCATATCTGGGCCAGACATTTGGGTACATCGCAGTTGCACCACCAAAGTCGAATTCTCAAAGCGATTGCTGACGAAAGTCCTGTATTTCAGGGACGATTTTTGCGGATTTTTTTTCCGATCACCAAATTATTGAGGATGCTACAGATATCATCCCAAACTTGTAACATTTTCGGCAAAAAAAAAAAAAATAAGCGTAAAGATGCAGGAACGAGTTTTCTTTCCACACATTTATCTCAAGCTGATGGGGGCTTCCCCTTCCCTCCTCTCCTTACTCTCCTCAAATTCCTACTAGCTTTTCTCAACGTGCTGGGGATGTTGTGAGTTGGTAATTCAGTTAGAGAGCATTCATATGTGTTTACGTTGATTGTGTTTCCTGAACAGATGGTGGACGAGATTGAACCGTTTGAATGGTTCGAAATGATGGCGCTGTAGCACTTGTTGATGTTTGTGAAGATGATCTTTGTGAAGGAGGTCGCGCTCCTAGTCTTCGGCCATTTGTTACCAATACGAAAGCTCGACGTGGTCGTACAATGCCACCAGATTCTCGGCTACCTGAACAAACAAATGCTTCAGCGATAATGCTTCTTCACATAGAATTTCTTTATCTCACTCTTTTTGGGACTTCAGATTACTGAGCATGCTCTCAGACATTTGCTGACAGGCGTGACACACTTTGGTGGTAGCACTACTGTTGTGCAGTAGATTGAAGCTTCGGTTGTGCTGGTGGCAGCCAGCCCCTCTACGATTCTTTCATTCGTTTCGATGGTAAATTGGTACTAGCGTATTATCAGAGAGATGAATTCGTCATCAGCTTACTTGTAAGCGACTCTCAAAAAAGGGAGTTATCGCTGGCCTTGCTAAGGGATGAACAGCATTTGCTACCACTCAGATTACTTCTCCGTGTGCTTTCGCCTCACTGAAAAAAGCGAATAAGATACAGTTCTGGCTTTTGCCTAGACAGAATAGTTCGTAACCTCATCACCACGTTGCATTTATCAGGTGAAGTACGTTTTTTCTGTCTTGCACATATTTTGTACCACCGATGTATTTGAGAGAGCTCCCGTTCTACTCGGTTCAGAATCCATTAATTTTGCGCAGTTTTCTTGTGGAAATGCTAGTAATTTCAGAAAAACGCGAAAAAAAGTATCTTTGACCAGCTGCTATTCATAGCGTCGTTTTCCAGCTATTTAGCTGACAATTTCTGTTTGAAATGGCTTGTGGTTAGCCTGCTTCTGACGATGTGGTATTGTTTTTCTGTGAAATAGATTGCCAATTCAGCGTTTAGCTTCGTTTCCAAGATTACCATCTCTAGATTACGAGAATACCGCCTAGGAAACTAATATAACACAGCATCGGCTGAATTTACCCCTTTGATTATTTGTTCCTTGACCTTGGCTAGCAGTATTCGGCGTTGCTGGAGCACTGGTATTCGGCGACGGATTTGCATTCAAATCGGCCTGAGCTGGAGGACCGCCACCAAATTCCGCACTCAGCTGTTCATCAATCATTCGTTCAAAAAACCCTTAAAAAATTGAGTTATTTTTTTTTTCTTATTGAGTTATTTGCTAGAAATCTGTTTTTATTGTTAAGTAGTGGCAATGTAAAGAAGAAGAAAGAAATATTTTCGTGAGCCATGCTTGCCAAAACATACTTGATTCAGAAAAACTAAAACGTTGGAAGTGAACTAACAGCAATTTGCGTTTTATCTAATTCGTACTTACAACTTATGCATAAACATGTACATCTATGTGTGTGAATATGAGTGTGCATACAAGGCAAGGTAACTGGCTAATATACACGTTTATAAACTACACTTCATAATGCCAATTACATCTTCTTTAGATAGAAAAGGCGAAAATATCGAAAATGTAGAAGAAGCGACGCCAAAGCTCCCCAAAACAGGGCCGAGCGGCTGGCGAGAGCTAATGAAGTTACTAGATATTTAAAAGACGGAGGGGCCACTTATGTACCCGTGTGACCAAGGTCAAAGAAGTTACTT